AAGAGAGGATACGGGAGCCACAAAGCTACTTAGAATTTACATTCTTCATCCAGTTTTCTTCTCCTTAAAATGTGATTTGACCCAATTTAGAGGTCTTTTTTCTTTCCATTTAACCCCACTTTTGACAGGGATTTTTCTTAGAGCATTCCAAAGATTCTCCCATTGCCTCAGAAACTTAATTTGAAGTGATGTAAACGAAAAGGATGTTCAAAATCTTAAACAGCTTTTGGATTCCCTTTGTACATTCCTGCATGGATTTGAGGAAGAGCTGGTTTTTACTTTGTTTTGTTTTTTAATCAGCAAATCACTGTGTTTTCTAGGGTAAGAGACATTGAACATTAGTCACAGTGATGTGCAGGGGGGTCAGGCCCCGTTTACAAAGTGCTTGAAGACTTTGGTTCTCAGAATCCCACCTGAGAGGGACAGGATGAGTGTTACTGTTCCCATTTACAGATAAGGAGACAGACTCCCCCCCCCACCAAGTTTCAGGAATCTAGTCTTCCTCATTGAACTGCGGCCAGAAGCCTTCTGAAACCTGCCAGCTCCTGCCTGCATCTACCCTCCTCCAGGTCAATGTCATATAGCAAATGCTGCATCCTTTTCTGAGATGTGTCTACCGAGACCCCAGCCACCCTCTGGGTTGAAGCAGCCCCGACGGCTCACATTTTAGGCATCTCTTTCCACAGCCTGCAAACCGCACGGGATAGTCTCTTACAACCGTCTGTTTACTCACTTCCCTCCACCGGGTCAATTCCGATTCCAGGCCCGGGAGGACAATTTTAAAGTGTTTCTCCAGACAGACCCTCTGGCCGCGCCGGAAGTGTTTTATGGACCTGTGAGCCGAGTTAATCCCAGGAGGGGCGGCAGGATTAGTCCCTGGTGTGGGTGGGGGATTCCTGTATTAAACTTTAATCCCCATGGGAGAAGAGATGGGGGACGGGTGGCTATGGCAATGTGTGCCCCCCCATTAAACTCCCAGATTTGGGCCGAGGCGGATGGAAACTGAGGTATGTGGATACCCCAAAGCCTCGATCCTCGGCGAGGCGGGGTGCAAGGGGGGAGGGCGCCCCGCGCAGACGCACCCTGGGAGACCAGTGAGGACATCGAGGGCGAGTGGAGAGCGCGGTAGTGTGCTTTTTTCCCCCCAGGTTTTATCCTTCCCTCCCTGGCAAGGAGGAGAGCCGCAACCCGGAGAGGGAGCCGGAAAGAAGCACTTAATCACCGGCGTCTCGCTGCTCGTCACGCGAAGATGGCAGCGGCTCCCCTGTGTTTCAAGGTTCCGGGAAAGGCGTGTGTTCTGCCTTAGGCGCGCTGGCTGCTGCGCTCCCTCCCTCAGCTCGGCAGCCGGCCGGGGTCTCGGAGCCTCTCTCAACGCCCGCAAGTGCGGGTAGGCCAGCCTGCCGCCTGGCCAGCCTGTCCCTCCTCGGGCCCGGCGGTGGCTAGGGTAGCGGGGGCCCGTGGGTCTTCGCGGTCTAAAAGTAAAGGCTCGAGGATGTGACATGGGGAGCTGATCGCCCAGCCGCCTCCGATCACAACAGCCCCCGCCCCAAGACACACAGAGCCACACTGTGGCCCGAGCACGCTGGGCGTCAAGCTGCGGCCAATACAAGACATGCAGGGTAGACTCCCAGTAGCGGTGGCCGGAGACCCGGCCAGCCTTTGCGGAGAGGGTATTTATCGCCACCGCCACCCACGCGTAGGCCCCACTGTGTAGCCTTCCCCTTTGACTCCCCGGGCCATCATGAAACAGAGAGCGCACAGGTCCCCCCCAGCCGCCGCCACTTCCGGGGAAGTTGGGGATCCCCAGGCCTGGCTGCACGTCCCAGGGGTGCCAGCATGTGCACGGACCCTGGGGAGGACCAGGGCAGCGCGGTCCCTCCCCACCCGGATTCTTCCCCGGTGCAGCACACAACCGCCACGGGCTTCCGAAGCGCCGGAGAGGGGAGGAGGAAGGGAAGGCGGAGGCCCGGGAGGCGGGCTGCGCGCTTGAGACGTGTGTGTGTGTGTGTGTGTGTGTGTGTACACGCGCAGGCGCGCGCGCCCGGAAAGGGGGACGAGTGTTTGGGGGAGGCAGGGTGAGTGTGAGCAACCCGGAACCAGCCGTCCCAATCGGGACTTGTTTAGCTGGCCTCTCCAGCCCCCGGCCGTGAGGCTGCGTGCCCAGGGCTGGCGGCTCAAGCGGAGGGGAGCCAGGAGGTGCGGAAGGCGTTGCCGGGCGTCCGGCCAGCTCCGCGAGAAGAGCCCGGCGGCGCGCCCGGAGCCCAGGGACCGGCGTGACCCAGCCGCCCCCGCAGGCGGTAGTTTAGCTCCGCCTCCCGGGACCACTGACTCTCGGCGATAAGGAGTTCCTCGGCAATCGGCTGTCCCCAGTGCCCAGTCACCTCCGGCGGACGTGACCGCCGGATGCTATGTGGCGAGGTGGGGCGAGGGGCCTTTGCACTGCCTTCCCTGGTCCCTTCTCCGCCGCGGAGCCACAGTAACGTGCAAAATAAGGGCCAAATGTCGGGCTTCCTCATCTCTTCCCATAACCCTTTGGAAGGTGGGGGGTCCAACACACCCCCCCAAACAGCTCACCTTCACTACACAACACTGGGGAGGCAGCACAGCCCTACATTCCTCAGTCGGGGGGCGATCCTGGCCATAGCCCAAACTGTGCAACAAAGCCGCTTAACAGTTCTGGGCCTCGGTGTCCTTATCTGTAAAGTGATACCAATAACGTGTCTAACTCACGGGGTTGTTTTCAGGATAAGAGTTAATACATAAAGTGCATAGAGCTCTGCCTGGCATACAATGCTACAATGTTTGTTGTTAGGGTTTGGTACCCTCTTACCAGGCTGAAGCAGGTGAAGGTGGGGTTTGCACAGGGTAGAAAGGGCACTGCTGCCCACAAAAGAAGGCAAAATGGGCTCAAACTGTCTCCACTAGATTTCCCCTTAAAGACCCTCGTGTGTGGTAGGGATGGAAGGGGGAACTTTGCTTTAATGGTGCTCATTTAGACTGGATTAATGGGAAGCTCCTGCTAGGGCTCAGGCACAATTACCCACCCTCTCCCTGAGGCCTTGGGCGAACAGCACTGGTTTAGAGGACGTCCAGTAGACTCTTCCAGGACACCCTTTCTGATGGCTCAAGGCCACCTCCTATAAATCAGTTCTTAGAGGCGCTGGGCAAAAGCCACATCCTCTGGGGATGTAAGTTAGCCAGATTTTTAACACTGGTCCAGAGCTGGCAGGCGGCAGGCCCCAGTCCCTGGGCTGCTGGTGAGTCTCATTTTAGAGACTCACAAATGCACCACTATTTACGTACATAGAACGGGTCAGATTTCTAATTTCAAAAAGCTTCCCATTTCCTTTGAAATGGGGTCTCCTGCGCGATGGGGCGGAGTTGGGGCAAAGAAGCGCCCCGAGGAGGCCTCGGCGCCACTCACTCCCCGCCTGGCCTCTCCCAGGTCACTCATAATTCATTAGGTGGGACAGCCTTTTCCTTTTCAAAGACAACGCAAATGGCCTTTCCCTTACGTGGCTGCCGGCGTTCGCCTAATCACTGAAATGTGCTGGCGGTGCGCTCTCGCTCTTGCAGTTGATCCTTATCGGAACTGTGCGTGCCAGGCGGCCAGCCCCGCGAAAGACAAAGACGCGGGTGCCTCCGGGTTTGCTCCCGAAGCCTCAGGGTCACCTCCGGGGCTTCCCCTTCACAGCCTCTGGCTCCCAAGCCGCTGCCGGCCAGCCTCCGGAACAAACTCGCAGCCTGAAGTCAGAATTCCAGTTCTCGAGCGCCACCCGGAGCGTTCACTTTTCCCCTCCTCCAAGGCCGCGTGGTGCGCGAGTGAGAGTCCGAGGGCGGCGGGAGCAGACGTTTGGGGCCGGGGGCCGGGGGCGGGGACTCCCCGGCACCCAGCAGCAAGAACGCAGGTTAAAGAAAAAGGCAAGAGAAAAACGTGGGCTTATAAAAGCCAAAACCCAGGACCATCTAGTCTGAAGTACAAACAACCTCAGGAGGGAGTTTGCAAGGAGCAAGCAACCCCCATATAGAAACTACAACTAAACGTAATCCCCATTTAGAGTTATAGTAAGAGTCCTCGAAGGTGGAGTGCAAAGGGGACCGCGGTTTCTTAGGACACACACGGGCTGTGCTAAGATACATCATGCTCAGCCCGGCACCTCCTGCACACGCGTTTAATAGCAGGCAGAGAGCGGAGTTTCATCTACAGATCAACTAGTTCTCACAGTATTTATAACTGACTCAACGTTTACTTGATTTTTTTAAAAACAGATTTATCTTGCTTGAAAGATACATTAACAACCTGTATTTAGATGAGCTAAGTTCTCTCAGCTGTCTGCCCATGTCTGTCTGGTCTCTCTAAGAATCCACGTTTTCTAGCCCGGGAAGGGGCAGACTCCTCCTTCGGCGGTTTCCTGGCTTGGGGCCCATCCTCCCCAAGCACCGGGAACGGAGACGGCCGCATTAATACTCGCGGGCAGCCTGTTCTGACCTATACTGTCATTTTTTCCATCGGTCAGAATCGGGCTTGGGGGGGGGGTGTTCTCCTCCGAGGGGCTCTGCACGGATCATTGGGTTTTCCCCGGCGAACTTAACACGGAGGCAAAAGGGGCAGATGGAAACCAGGCCTCGGCTGGCCGGGCGCGCGTAAGCGCCGCACTCGGCAGCTCGACGCAAAGCCAGGGCTGGATTTTCGCAGCCTGGGCCCGGCGGCCTCCCCGCGCCGGCGCGATCCTCTCTCCCTCGGGCTGAGCAAACGTGCTCTTCAAATTCCGCCCTGGAGACAGCAGCTGTGCGGCGCGGGGGTGGGGGTGGGGGGGAATAACCCGCAACTTTTCCAACAGAAAGTGTATGCGCACAGGAGAGGTGAAGGCCCACCCGATTCTGTGCACGTACCGACACAGCATCTAATCAGTGTCACTGCCAGGAATACGCTTCCGCGGCGGGCGACACCCCGGCCCCCGCCAACCTGCAGGAGGGAGGGGGGATGCAAATGGCGTCTCGCGTCGTCCCAGACTCTCCACAGCTCCCGCTGCCGAGACTCCGAGCAGACGTCGCAGCGGGCCAAGCGTCGCCACTCTGGGGACGCGAACAAGCTGGCGGCCCGCGCCCCTCTCCTGCTACCTGGTCGCGGGAAAACGAACTAGCACCGCTCCCCGGGCCGAGGCCATTCCCCCGCCCCCACCGCCGGAAGAGCTGCCCTTCCCCGATGGGAGGGGGGCGGGAAACTTTGCGAGACGACTGTTCCGCGCCTTTCTCGCGTGGCGTCGGAGAGGAACTTGGGTGGGTTTCCCGTCCGAGGCCTGACCACACCCTCCCACTTTTCTAGGCCTCGGACCTCAACCTCGTGGACTACGGAGCGGAGGGGGACACTTCGAGCCACTCGGAGGGTGGCACCGAAGTCAGGCGTCCCCAAGGGCTCTGGCGGATGGCCAAGTTTGTGTTCTTTCCATCCCACGCCGGAGTAGCGCTCGCTACTTTGGGGAAACTTCAGACTCCTCAACCCCGGCCACGAGGCCACCCCTGTCTTTAAGGTAGGGCCAATGGTCTCTCTACAGCACCCTCTCCCGCTCTGCGGCCCCCGCACCGCTCCCACAGCCCCGGGGAGTCCCCACAGATGGCCCGCGCCTTCCCTCGCCCGCTCTTCCGGGGGAGGGGGAGGCGCGTGGGTCGTGTGCACCACGACTCCGGCCCGCATCCTCCGCGGAGCCACCTCCGCAACCTGCCCCGCCCGGAGTCGCCCTGCGGGATGCAGCCTTCCCCGCGCGTAATGGGGCACCCCTGGGACGCAGGCAAGGATGGCGGTTCCGGTCGTTCCGGGATTTGCGTGCAAGAAGACAACAAGGCCGGCGACTACAGGAGCGGCGCCTCCATTCTCGGGGTTGAGACGCCCGCGCAGTCTCCGCGTCGGTCCCGCTATCGCCACTCTTGCCTGGGGGGCCCGCTTCCGTACCCCGTGCCACCCCCCAGCAATCCCTCGTCCCGCCCTTGCGGCACCACGCGGAGCTCCGAGCACGCTGGCTCCCACCCCAGCCCCTCCATAACTCGCGCACCTCCCTCGCCCCGGGCTCGGGGCACTACTCGCTCTCAGCGCCCGGAGTACGCCGGTTCCACCCTCGGCTGCGAAAGCCGCCGCCCCGTGCCACCCCCGCCCGGCCCGGCCCTTGTCCCAGCCCGGCTCCCCCGCCAGCTGCGCCGCCACCGCCGCACGTGACCCGCCCCCGTCGCGGCTTCCGCCTATCTGCCTGTTCCGGAGCACAAACAATTTCTGCTCTGACGCGGGGTCTCTCGGGCCCCGGCGTCCTCTCCTCCTTGCCTCCCCCCCTTCCGGGTACGAGAACTCAAAACAACTCGCTGACCTTCGGGCCGACCAGCTCCAGCTTCCACCGACTCCGGCATTCTGTTCAAACCCGGCAGCGGCGGCTTCTAAGATTTCACTCCGCGCTGGGCTGGGGGGAGGGGGTGATTCCTCCGGGAGGGGGTGTCTCAGATCGAAAGAGCCACTTCACGCTCATTCCTCTCCTCCCAAGTGAGTTTTTAGACTGTCCAGAGGCCCTGGGGAAAGCCGCGCGCAAAGAAAGCCACCCCCCCACTCCCACCCCAACACGCGCGCGCGCGCGGGCGCGCGCGCGCGCACACACACACACACACACACGCCGCCTTGACTGGTGCCTGACCTGATTTCCAGGGTCACGGCCCATCGGCGGAGGGCCTGGACAGCCTCCGAAATACCACGGAGCGGTGGAGTGCGGCACGGATCAGAGCTGGGGTGGGGTGGAGGGATTGCAGTAAATAGTAATAGTAGCTCCCACTTCTGCGCTGTGCCGAGTACTTTACAAGCCCTTGAACTTTACGGATCAGGAGACTGAGGCGTAGAGAAAGGTCAGTTAATTGACTCTATCAGTCACCCAGCAAGCTAAATGACTTAGTAGGAGTAGGAATTTGAACCCAGGTGTCCCGGAGTCCGGGGTGGTTAAACATTATGCTAGTACTCACATTGGAATCAAAAGTACAGACCCATCAACAGAACTTAGTGTTCACTTGAGGGCTACATATTTTCCACGTTGCGTTGTGACTGGTACCCAGTAGGCCTTAATAAATAATGGTGAAATGAATGGGTGTCTGAATAAATGATTGACAGAATCACTGATGGCAAGTGATTTTAGAGAAAACAGCCCCAACCACTGCTCCTTCTAAGAGGACTGTTTTACCTTAATAAAATCTCTAGCTGTTTTGTGACTGTTTGCAGATAACAGGAAACTCTTATTCAAAAATATATTAACCTCCCCCCCTCCCCCCAGCCAATCAGCCTGGCAGCGTTTGAACTTGCTGGGGCACATACCCAAAGCAGCTTTTACTTGATCTCAGCCATTTTCCCTACCCTGTTCCTTCTCCGTAGGCTTCTGCTCTGGGTCAGGCAGCCTGGAGCTGCATTTGAAGTGATTCTGAACATATCCCAGGAAAGGAGTATACGCCCACCAAACATGGCTCATTGGCTTCCCTTCCACAGGCTGGTGGTGGTGGTGTTGGCGTGGGGGGAGCGTGACTTGCAGCTCAGTGGTTATCTTTTAATTCACAGACCACATAAGGAACACCATGATCCGTGCATCTGTGCAGCTTGTTCCAGAGTCCCAGCCCTCACCAGCTGTGAGGTCACATCTCTTGGAAGGCAGTCATCTACCTCAACCAGCAGCTCCGAGATGCTGGGCAGCGGGACCATATCTGCCATTGGGAGAGCTGCCGCTGGTGCTCTGGGCTGTCCTACTCCTTCCGGTAGCCAAAGAGAGGATGCGAGTTTTAAAAATGCATATATTCAGGTAATCCATATTGTCATACGCCGTCTCCGCCCCCCCCGCCCCCGTTTTCTAAACCTAACCAGTTGTTCCTTCTGTGTCCCTAATTGGGCAGCCTGAAGTGAGGACAAATTTCATTTCCGGTTACCTGAAAGTAAACTTTCTCCCTTCCAGTTTGATTCCTCCAACATCTGTTGAATGCCTCTGTAGTGTAAGCCACTATATTAGGCAGAACGTGGAGGAGGAAAATGGCTAGTCTCTGTTTCTGATTAGTGATATAGGCTGTCCTCCCTCTCTCTCTCTCCCCCTCCCTTCCTCCCTCCCTTCCTCCTTTGTCTTTCTCTCCTTCTGACAGTTGTCTATTTTGGCCCATGTTCCTATGATAATTAACCAAGAAATGAAAGCGTTTATTTTCTAAGCAACAACCCAATATTGATTAGAAGGCTGGGGTCTCAGCCGCCTCTTTTACAGTCTGGTCTGGAGTGACCAGCAGGACCCTGTGACCTCAGCTTGTGGCCAGCCCAGGTTGGAAACATCAAGGGATTTCCAAGGAGGCCACAGGCCTCAATCCTACGTGGCCAGATCGTAGCTGCACACACTCTTGCCGAAATTCACTTACCCCTCGTGCAGGGGGAACTGGTGACAAGTGATGCTGAACCAGAGGTTCAGGATGCTAATATGATTTATTATCTGTGTACAGCCTGGGGAGGAGAAAAGACTCGTTAAAGTGTTCTAGACTGGTCATTCTGAATGTGAGCATTTATTTATCTGCAAAGCTGCCGAATGTCCCTGCAGGAAGTCGCGGGTGCAGCAACCCCTGACTGCACAGACAAAAGTCTCCCCTTTACACAGGGCTGCTTTTATTGTTTCCAACAGCTTTGTGCTTTCCCTGGGGGAAGAGGAGAGTCACAGAGCGAGTTTTCTTCCTCTTTTCTCACGCTGCAGAGGAAGCGATGTTGTGGAAACAGGGGCATTAACTTGGCCTGCAAACCACATCAGAGCCAGAGTTGGGAAAAGCTCGGAGCAGGGTGGCATTCCTATGGCTTTCGTCCTCCAGGTCCCCCAAAACCCAGCCTGGGTCTGAGCATGGGGATGGCGGGCGCTCACAGGTGGCACAAAGCAAGAGAAGTTGTACTTGGGAATCATTCCATGGGTACAAGGGGCTCCCTGGGGATGGATGCTCCTGAACAATTAGGAGTCAAGCCCCCAAATGACTCCTGGAGCAGCTTCATTCATTCTTCATTCATCTCTTGGAACACACTTAGGGATTAGGCACTTGGTGCCAAGCACTGTGCTGGCCCAGGGTATGCAATGGTAAGCAACAGAGACACAGTCCGTGCGTCACGCTTATATTCTACTTCGCTTGGCACACGAAAGGTACCGGATGTGGTCCCGACCGTCGAATCCTGTAGGTCCTACCTCCTTAACGTCTATCCTGGGCTCTTCCTCACCCGACCATCCTTAATTCAGATCCTTGAGGACTCCTCGTGGAACAATGGAACCCACCCTCCCCAAACTCGCCTCCTCCATCTGATCATGCCACCCACTGCTTTGAATCGTTCAAGCAGCAAGAAGGGGAGAGACAAGGGGAGATAAGGACACCCCCATCCAGCTGAGTCAGCCTCCTTTCTAAGGATTTCTCAGAAGTCCCACCTAGTGATTTCTACTTATGTCTCATTGGCCACTTCTTGCTGCAGGGGAGGCTGAGGAATGGTAGCTTTTAGCTTGAGGCCATTGCTGCCTCAGGTTACTACGGAAGGGGGGATGGCTACTGGGGTGGCCAGCCAGCCACCTCTGCTCACATACTCACAGGGTATGTGACAGACAGTATGACATCACTTAGTAGGTGGTAGGAGAGAGTTTGAGAGGGACCTTTTGGGCTCTGTTCCCTGGTTCACATCCCAGTTCTGTGGGAGCTGCCCTCTGTCTCCTCCGTGGGGTTGGGATGCCAGCAGCCTCTATGTTGCTGTAGGTGCAGGTGGAATCTGCCCCTAGCTGAGCCAGTTCTGTTCTTTTTTTTTTTTTTTTTTTTCCCTGGAAATGGGGGATCAGGAGAGAGAAAGCTGGTCAGTCAGGGCAGGGCTGGCTGCATGTTTCCACCTCCCGCCCTGCACCCCAGCTCACCTTCCTGAGATGGGTCCTCGGATGCCAGCTCCCCACCTCCTTGTGACCCTGGCCCTGCTTGGCCTCCCACACACCACCCTGGCCTTGGGACTGCTACCACCCTCTGCCCCTGGGTACTAACTTTGGGAAGGTCAGGGTTGGGGAGCCTCACGGTGCCTTGGGGGTGGGGCAAGGCGGCAGCACTTTTGGCCGGACACTTGGCAGGGCCCTCTCCTCCACTGAGGATCCAGGCACCAAATGTGTCCCAGCATGGAGGTTGTGATCCCTTGGAGGCCAGCGAGTACCTTGGGTGGAGGCAGTGGGCGTGTGGGGGAAGGGGAGAGTGAGGGGCTGGGACCCTGCATTTTAGTTTTGTTCTGGGCCCCACAAATTATGTAGTCAGCCCTGTCTGACCGTGGGGCCATTGCGTTCAAGCCTGTGGATGCCAGGCCAGGGAAAGCCAGTCTGCAGAAAGGCAGAGAATAGTAAAGAAATGTGGTAAAAAACAGAGTGCCTTCAGAAACACAGGGCCCCAGAGAGGGCAAAGATTGGTTCCTGAAGAGCGTCCAGTGCTCGGCTCCTGCCCGCTGTGGGGACCTGCCTGTACTTCTGCTCCTGAGTTGTCATCAGTTCCCTTCTGTTCCTTGTGCTACTATGGATGGATTCCCCTGATTACCAGCTAAAAGTGCCCCAACCCAGACCAAAAAAAAAAAAAAGCTTGGTTTGCAGTTTATAGTGTTGGGTTTCAGTCCCAACTTTGCCGTTTAACTAGCTGTGTGATATTGGGCGAGTAGTTTTTAAAAAAAAAAATTTATTTATTTAGGCTGCACCAGGTCTTAGTTGTGGCACACGGGATCTTCATTGTGGCATGACTAGTTGCGGCATGTGGGCTCTTAGTTGCGGCATGCATGTGGGAACTAGTTCCCCGACCAGGGGTCGAACCTGGGCCCCCTGCATTGGGAGCGCGGAGTCTTACCTGCTGGACCACTAGGGAAGTCCCTGGGCAGGTTAGTTATTCTCTCTGAGGCTTCGTTTCTTCAACCTTAAAAAAATGGCTGGATCTAATGGTACCAACGTTGTAAGTTGCTATAAGGATTATCTGTTTACACCCCTTCTTGTTAATAGAAGTATTTAAGACACAAAGGCATGTAGAGAATTTTGAGTGAAACAACTTCCTTCTCTGACTGTTTTCTCAGTACTTCAATACTGCATACTTGAATCTGGTTAACTTAAGTGGTTAGAATAGGGTCAAACAAGATGGATGTCATAGGTTTTGAGCACTAGACAGGTTTGCTTAGCGTATTTCCATGACTAAAGACTAAACACATAAGGTAGATATTCCAGTTATCTATCGCTGCACAATGAACAACCCCCAAATGTGTGGTTCAAAATAACAACCATGTTACTGTTTCTCATTATCTTGTGGGCCAGGAATTGGGACGGGACTAGGATGGGTGATTCTTCTGCTCCATGTGGGGTCAACTAGGGGCTCTCAGTGGCACTCTGGTGGTGGATGTGCTGGTCTGGAGGGTCCAGGTTGGCTTCATGCACAAGTGTGCTGCTTTGGTGGGGATGGCTCCAAGGCTGGGCTCAGCTGGGACTGTAGAATGTGGTTCCTATCTGTGGCCTCTCCAGCATGGCGGTCTTAGGGTAGTATCACTTTTTCCATGGTTGCCCAAGTTCCAAAAGACCAAGATAGAATCTAGAAAGCCTTTTCTGACCTAGCCTTGGACATCATGTGGTATCACTTCTGCGGATTCACCTAATTACAGGAGAGTTAGAAGCTCACCCAGATTCAAAAGCAGGAGACTACATGAGGGTGTGAGCACCAGGATGCATGGGTCATGGGTGGGGGCATTTTTGGAGACTAGCTATCACAGTGGACCAACCACTTATATGTTTGTTCCCTTAGTCCTGGGGGGCAAAGTGCAAGGACATGGTTGGGAGAGCTCAGGTCCATCCCCAGTTCATCATCAGAAGTATTCTGGGAAATCCTCAGCAAGGGGCAGGAGATGGAAAGGCTCTTGGGAACATCAGCCTCTGCAGAGAGCTAATTCCATAGGCTCTGGATGTTAAATGCTAGTCCTGCTTCAAAACCAGCCTCTTGGGCTCTTGAACTTACAAAAAAATAATCTCAGATTCCTATGCGGGAGTTATAATTGTCTCCATTTTCTATATGAGGAAACTTAATTAAATTGCCCAGAATCACAGCTGGAAAATGGTACAGCTGGAATTTGAAACCAGCTATATCTAATGCAAAAGCAGTAGGTCATTTTACAGTTTAAGTTACTTTCCCAGGGTCACCCAGAGAAATACAGAAATACAATTCAGTACCCATTCATGGTAAAAACGCTTAGCAAGATTAGAAGAGAATGGAAATTCCTTCATCTGATAAGGAGTATGTACAAACAAAACTTACAACAAATACTGTATTTAATGGTAAAATATTAAAAGCTTCCTCCCTGAGATCAGGAACTAGACAGGATGATTGCTATCACTCTTTCTATTCATTATTATTGTGGAGGTCATAGCCAGTGCAATAAAACAAGAAAAAGAAAGAAAAAGCATCCAGATTGGAAAGGAAGAAGTGAAACTCTCATTATTCTCAAATGACATGCTTGTGCACATAGAAAATCCAAAAGAACCTACAATCCAACTATTAGAATTAATAAGGGAGTTCATCAAGGTCACTGAATTTAATGTAGGGCTCTGGTGAGGAGTCAATGAGAAGTTTGTATCAGCTACTAAACCCTAACCTATTTAATCCTCACAACCACTTCTCTTTGGCCTGTGACCCTGGTGACACTTCCTTCTTGACATTCCCTTTACCTTGTCTTCCTTGATACAATCTTCCTTTGGGTCTCGTCCTCCTCTTCTGGTATCTGCTCCTACAACATCGGCCGTGCTCAGAGTTTGATCCACAAGCAGTGCTGTGGCGAGGACCGCTTCATCGTGTTCTCTGTGGGTGGCACCTCCCATGGGTGTCCAACACTCTTATCATTTCTTCCCTGGACTCGCCCGCTGACCTAGTTCTTGGTTCTCCCACCTCAATTTTTCCCCCCACTTTTTTTTTATTGCGGTAAAATACACATAACATAAAACCGACTATCTTAACCATTGTAAGTGTACAGTTCAGTGGGGTTAAGTGCATTCATGTTTCGAAACCATCACTGCCATCCTCCTGCCTCCCTTTGTTTCCGTCTGTCACGCAGGCCCCAGTGGGAGGGGACCTTCCTCAAATACAAACTTGATCTTGCTGCCTTTTCCCTCTTTAAAATCTTTCAAGACCGGAGACACCTTGGTTAAGTTCAACACCCTCTGCCTAGTATAATAGCCCTCCACAATCACGGCTCTGGCTTCCATGCCTGTTTTAATTTGGGTACCTCCCAAAGCTGACCCTGAGCCAAGGATTTGGCGCCATAAGAGAGGTGATCCCAGGAAGCACAGTGAGGGAATGAGAATCAAGACAGGGAAGGGAGGAAGGCCAATATACGGTACGTTTGTGAGCAGGTTACCGATATGGGCAACTGGGGCTCAATTCTGCTGGTGCCTCTCTGAGATCCTGTGTAGCACACCCCTCAGCACTGCCCCGGTGAGGGGTGAGGAAGCTGGAGTATTTATCCACCAACTCCCATCCAGCTGGTAAACCAGCTTTCTGGGAGAACAAAGAAAGTCCCAATTTGTAGTGTTTGCCAGTGGCCACGATATAAATATTCCCACTGTGGCTGATTGGAAGCTACCAATGTTTTAACACTTGGCTTGCAAATTTTCTGAATATGTAACAGTCAGGCTCTCAGGCTCTCCAGAGCTAGTACCACTGCTCCAGCACACCCCAGCTCTCATTCCGCATTAGTTGAGGGTTGTTTCTGGGAAGCTAAGCACTTAGGATCTGCTCGCCCATATGGTGGCCAGCTGAGCATGCTTCAGAGGCCTGAGAACTCCCTCTGATGGTTTCAGGAAGTCCTCATTGTATTTGGGAAATCTTTTCAGGTGCCTTCCGGGTTGGGTGGAGGGACACGGGTGGGACACCAACAGAGCTTGCGGTTAGGTCTTTGCAGGGCCGCCCTGCTTGGAATGCCTGCTCCTTCTTAGCACACCCCCCCGCCCCCCAGCCCCGTGAGCTTCTGCTCGTCCTTCAGTACTCAGCCGTGGTGTCACCACCTCTGTGAAGCTCTCCCTGTGTTGCCACAAACTGTCCTTGCTCTCGTGACAGCCTGAAAGCACGCCCTTGGCTTGTTAATTGCTACCTGCCTTTGTTCCTCACTGTACTGTAAGCCGCCAAGGCCAGGGACGTTGTCTATCGGTTTCTGTAACGGCAGCTGTTAGCCCAGTGCCCAGCACAAACTTAGCTACTTAATAAACAGACAACTCGCCCCACCCGACCCTGGCACGTAGTAATGATTGAGTCAAATTAACACTCTCCCCCCTCCCCCTCCACCATTTATATATCCACTGCTCAATCAATCAGTTGGTCCCTACAGCTTTATTGCTTATTCCCATCCGTTTCCAAAGAGGACTTTAGGCAACAAGCAGGTGCTTCTTTTCCCGTGAAGGTGCGAGTGACCATATTTTCTGAAGCAATGATCAGGACACATGACCTGACACATGTTACGACACATGGTCTGACAATGGGACAGAATAGTTTAAATCACCACCATCTCGGAAAATCTGGGCTGCGTGGCCCTGTGTCGAAAAGAGCCAGGAGCCATGGCCTCGTAATGCACACCCAGAGCAGGCAGGAGTTCTGTTTTAAAGACCTCTGTGCTTTTAAGAGCGGCACGTGAAGATAGCAGAAGAGAGAAGTTGGTTTCTGTGGCACTCTAGCTGGAGTGATCATAGGGACCAGGGAAAAATCTGTGGCAGAAACAAGCTCCCATTAAGACCATATGCTGTAGTTCTAATCGATGGCTCTTAGAAGTAATTCCCCGACATTGCATTCATTTTTACTGCCTCCCCTTCGGGGGCAGGAAGAACAGGGTTGTTAGCCCGCGTTTATAGATGAGGGTATTTAGAAACAGAGAGGTTCAATGGCTCAGCCCTAGTCACAGAGTGAATCAGAGACACCGCCAGCCTCGAATCCAGAATTCCGACTTGAGCTTCTGTGCCAAGATCCCTCGGGGCACATTTCCTCTCTAATTTGCATAAATCATCAACATTTTTTTCCAAGCTTGTGCTGAGAAAGCCCCTTTTCAAAGAGCGGAAACTCCCTTTGCCTTCTGTCGCCTTAGTTTTATTTTATGAACCAAATTCTTTTACTTCAACACGTAGACTTGCTATTTTCCCTTCCGTTGAGCCCTTTTCAAAAGAGGTCATGACCTTTGCTTATAGATGCAATGGAAACGGGTGAGCCTAAATGAAATAAAACAGATGATCCGGAGGCCATATAAAGTGTAATTTCAACTAATGTTCAAAATCCCATGCAGTTGATTATAAGTCTTAGATCCTGGCAGGTTATCAGGAAAATGAGAATGGATAAATGGTGCTTCCAGCGTTTGGACCCCACTAGGTGTAAGATGAGCCTCCAACCTTGGGAGCAGATTCCTAGGATTAGAAATAAGAAACTGGACATACCAGGGCCGTGCAAGCTTTGAGAAATTTCAATTTGGAAATATGTAGGGAGCCATACCTGAGACTGAAGGTATGCCAACTTGGTCTTTTAATCACCAACATAATTACATAATTACTCACAATCCTTTCACATATTTAAGAAATTCTTAGCTTATGACCTCATCTGTCTGATGGTCCTTAGGTGACTCCAGTATTGAGGTTTCTGGGCATGAGCTGTGCTTCCTGGAATCCCAGGTCAGCACTTAGTGCCTTGCTGACACTCACGAAGTAGTAATAATCCTCTTGAAAGTAAAAACATACGCAGTGTGTTTGGAAAAATCTTCTCCTCCATGTCAAGTACGTTAGATTTTCAAAATAATTTATGGCTCATCTGTTTAACCATTAGAAAAAAAAGGAGTTCTGTCTATTTGAAATCTTTGGTAAAATAAAATTCAGCATAGAGGAAAAGCTTTTTGTCTACATGGCACAGTAATTTACTTTATTACTTATCACATTAGTCAGCTATTGCTGCAGTCATGCTGTGTAACAAAAGTTTTAAGCACACCCAAACTCAGCAGCTTAAGATGTTCATTTCCTGTTCACGGGGTAGGGGTCGGGGGCTGGGGTTCTGATGATCTCAGTTGAGTTTGGCTGTACTCTGTAGCTTGGGTCCAGGCCTGTTCCACGTGTCTCCTCATCCCCCTTGGCCCAGCAGCTTCCTGGAGCATCCTCATTTGATGGCAGATCACCAGAGAGCAAAAGGCAGGCCAAACAACACAAGCACCTTTAAAGCCTTTGCTGGCATCATATCTGCTCACATTCCATTGACTAAAGCAAGTCACAGGGTCAAGCCCAAGGTCAGTGGAGCAGGGGAGCACAACAGCCCAAGAGGGAGGGGGAGGGGAGTAAATATTTGCTGAACAGTGCTCCAGTCTCTCACAATTATCATCCCTAAAAGCCTGTGTTATGGACTGAATTGTGTCCCCCTCAAAATTCATATGTTGCAGCCTGAGCCCCCAATGCCTCAGAATGTGACTGCATTGGGAAATGTGGCCTTTAAAGAGGTGATTAAGTTGAAATGAGGCCATTAAGGGAGCTCTAATCCAAACTGGCTGGTGTCATTATAAGAGAAGGAAATTTAGACACATAGAGGAAAGGCCATGTGAGGACACAGCGAGAAGGTGGCCGTCTGTAAGCCAAGGAGAGAGGCCTCGGAAGACACCAAACCTGCCGACACCTTGATCTTGGGCTACCAGCCTCTTGAACTGTGAGACAATAAATTTCTCTTGTTTAAGCCACCCAGTCCGTGGTATCCTGTTATGGCAACCTGAGCTAATACAGCCTGTAAACCCCTTGCGGGTGACTCAGGGCTGTGTCTTACTCATGGTGTCGTCTTCCCCCACAGTACTTAGCACATTACCATGTGTACATATTTATGTATATTTGGTGAATGAACGAAATCTTCTCTCAGTTTCAAAATCAATAATTAACTTATTTTATCAGCCAGACTCATGGTTGCAAGTGTTAGAAACCCATTTAAAGTTTTTTTTAAGCCAAAAGGAAATCTTTGGGGTCAGATGACTGGGGTAGCTTCTAAAATGTACAGAGTGATTCTAAGAACCAGGGCCTCACCTGCCAGATCCTCTTTCCATGGTCCCTCACTGAGGCACTTGGCCTTGTTTTTGCAGAGAAAATGACTACCAAGAGAGCGACAGATTATATTTTCCAAAAGTGATGGCAACAATATCTCCCATCCCAGCTGCTCATCTTACAGTGTGACTTTGACATTCCTCCCATTGAGAGGTAGGGTCTGTGTTTTCTGCCTTTGAATATGGGTGGGCTTGTGACTACAGTGGAAGTGACACTGTGTGACTTCTAGGCTAGGTCATAAAAGACGATACAGCTTCTGCCTTGTTTGCTGGAACATTGCCTTTGGAGTCCTGAGCTGCCATGGCAGAAGTCCGAGGCTGCCATGCTGTCAGGAAGCCCAAGCTACATGGAGAAGCCACATGAAAGCGTTCTGGCCAAGAGCCCCAGCTGAGGGCGCATCTAACAGCCAGCATCAGCCGCCACATGTGAGTGAAGGTGACTCCACATGACTCTGGCCCCCAGCCATTGAGTCCTTCCTGTTGAGGCCCCAGATATTGGGGAACAGGAACAAGTCCTCCCCATGGTGCCCTGTCAAAATTCCTGATCCACAGAACCTGTGAGCATGATAAATGGTTCTTTTAGGCCACTATGCTTTGACATAATTTGTTCCATAGCGATTGTAAGTGGAATAAAGAGCCCAGGATTACACTCTTACAGCTACCACTCTTTAGAAAATTCTGGGAAAGGTCTCCAATTGGCCAGGCTTGGGTCACATGCCTACCTCTTGAGCCAACTGCTCTGTCCGGGAGGAAGTAGAGTAGCTCTAGCCTACTTTATGTGTTCATCCTGGGGGAGTAGGCAGGGATGTTATTACGGCCACGTACCAGACGCCTAGGGCTAGAGTGATTCATCAAAGGTGGTAGGGGTGGTCTCAGAAGAAGGGGTACGAGAATGTGTTCTGGGCAGACTGAAATAATAGCTATATTCTGTCACCTTTACTTTATTTGGTAACCTTTTTTGGGGGGAGAAGGGGAGGTTTAAGATAGTTTCCTTTAAAAGAAGATCGGAGACCACAAGCTGTGTGACTTTGAGCAAGTTACTTTGCCACGCTGAGCCTAATAAGAATTTTTTTTTTTTGTACTTCTCTGGCAAGTTGTTAAGAGTGTGTTAGAAACGCTTTTCACTTTAGTCAAAATTTACGTCAGGTCAGTCATCACTTGGAAGCAGGGACTTCAGTGTTCTGCTGAAGGGTCCACATTGCTGTCTGCATTAATTTCCACATGGCTTCTGTCTTTCCCTTTTCCACCCCAAAATACACACACACACACACACACACACACACCAGTCGCACGTGATGTGCACACACACATATTAAATATGTATTTTTCATATATTCCAAAAATAACCAAACCTTTCTTCTTTCCTGAAAGCCAGTAATATTTTTGCAGCCTAGAAATATCCTTAGGGTCAATATCCTCTATCAGGGATCGGCAAACTTTTTTTGTGACAGGCCAGAGAAGAAAAGTTTCAGGCTTTGCAGGCCAGACAGTTTCTGTTGTGACTACTCAACTCTGCCCTTGCAGCCAAAGCAACCACAGACGATATCTAAGCAAATGGGTGTGGCTGGGTTCCAATAAAACTTTATTTATAAAAACAGGTAGTGGGCCAGATTTGGTGCACAGGCTGTACTTTGCACAGAATCTATAGCAGCGCTGTCCAGTAGAAATAGAACGCAAGCCACATATGTATGTAGCTGCGGAGAAAGGCGGTGTCTCCCCAGTATCAATTCCCAGCCTGCAGTAGCATCAGCTCCCCTGTTGTAGGAGAAGGTATCCAGGCAGAGCATCAAAGATATGTGGATGCTGGAGGAAGGAAGTTGTCAGAGTACGGTGAGTTGTCTCACATAGCTGCCCGCGAACTCAGGCCCAGGGTGTAAGGAATGGGGCATCAATGGTGTCTGCCACTGGAGATATCATGGTGCTGCTGGGTCAGGGCTTTCCTGAAGCCAGATCTAACGCTGGACTTTAAGGTTATGTGAACCAGTACATTCCCCAATCAGCATGTAAGCCAGTTTCCATGGGGATTTCTATGTCTTATCATGGAAAGCAGTTTTTACTACTCTACAGGTTAATTAGCTCAGCAATTCTCTGGATGCTGAATAATCTTACCATGAGAATTGAGATTGGCAGAGGTGTGGAGATTCTGTATAAGTGTTTCTCAGCCCCTCTATGTTTGATAGGATACTTCCCTCCTACTCCTGCCCCTCAAACGACAAAACGAACACGACCTTTTTGTTTTTCAACCCTATGTCAGTAGTAAAATAAGACTTAAGAAACACCCTGAGGAGTTTGGTTAGGATCTATTTCTCAGTTGCACATGGTCCAGCCTGTTGGCTGAAGCAAAGTGTAGACAGAAGCTACACCATCATTAAAGAAGGTGCGGTGTATATATATATATATATATATATATATACATACATATACATATATATGAATATTATTCGGCTATTAAAAAAAAGAAGGGAATCTTGCCATTTGTGACAACATGAATGGACCTTGAGGGCATTGTGCTAAGTAAGATAAGTCAGACAGAGAAAGGCAAATACTGTATGATCTCACTTATATGTGGAATCTACAAAACCGAACCAAACCAAACCAAATTCATAGAGAACAGATTGGTGGTTGCCAGAGACAGGGGATGGGGGTGCGGGTGAAATGGGTGAAGGGGCTCAAAAGGTACAAACTTCCAGCTCTAAAATAAGTAAGTCATAGGAATGTAATGTACAGCATGGTGACTATGCTGTACATTAATAATAGTTAATAATGGTGCATTGCAGTATTTGAAAGTTGCTAAGAGAATAGATCTTAAAAGTTTTCACCACACACAAAAAATTGTGTAACTATGTATGGTAATGAATGTTAACTAGACTTACATCGTACTGATCGTTTCGCAATATATACAAATATGGAATCATTATGTTGTATACCTGAAACTAATATACTGTTATATGTCAATTACATCTCATTTAAAAAAGAAAGACAGAAAGACACCATCAGTCCAAAAGAGACCAGGGCAGGTATGGTAGGTTGTTGGGTCCCTAAACACCCATTTCAACTCTCCTCTTGCTGACAGTCCTTTAGAGCAAGCCTCTACATTCAATAACGCGCTTTCCCAGACATCTGTGCAGGAGAGGTGGCCGTGTGACTCCAGTCCAGCCAGTGGGACACAGTCAGAAGTCACCTATCATTGCCTCTTCTGCTGCTTTCTCCTTTGGCTGGAGTGAGGGGCTGGGGCTGGAGATGCACGCGTCATTGCCACGTTCCGAGGAGGGGGAGACAGGCAGGCTTCTTCTTGGCCTTCGTGGGCCACCCTTCCAGACCTGGACTCTATTATCCCGACTTCTTACTGCCTGAGATAAATCAGTGCCTTTACCATTAAGCCAACAGCCACAGTTGTTGAGTTTCTCTTATGGGCAGCTGAATGCAGTCCTGTGTGATACAGAATTATATAAGCCTCTTTACTGTTACCAGGATGTTCCTCTGCCACTTTCCCAAGGATCATGGGCACGTGGGAGACCTCAGAGGGCCTAAACTGTGGCCAGGGCAACAGATGCAAATCAGGACAGATGAAAGTAGTGTAGAGTAGAGCTAAACGGCCGTGGGAGGACCTCTCCAAGCTTGTTTTTAAAAATCTTCAGGGAATCCAGGGGAGATCATACAGGCTTGGCTGGTGAACCAGGAGCCAGTTCGTCCTCCTCATTGGTATAGACTCTTGGTGAGTGAAAGTGCCCAGATTCCAATTCCAATGCATGGAGGGAGAGGGGTCCCCCCCCACCTGCTCCAACAACAAGCGGTGCCTGGGACACCAGCTGGGTGTCCTACAGTTCAACTCAATTCTGACACCATCTACCTGGAGACAGCGTCAGATCCCACAGGTTAAGGGCTCAGTCCCACAAGACTGCCCTCTGCCTCAGATGCCAATTGCAAGTCCAGGTTGTCACCTGTGCCTCTGACCTACTGGCTATAAATCAGAGGTTCCCACGACCTCCTTCTTGGGTTCCGTTAATTTGCTAGAGCAGCTCACAGGACTCAGAGAAACATTTTACTCACTAGATCACTGGTTTATTATAAAAGGCTACAGCTCAGGAACAGCCCGATGGAAGAGAGGCATAGGGCAAGGTGTGGGGAAAGGGCACAGAGCTTCCATGCCCCCTCTGGGCTCACCACTCCCCCCATGTCTCCACGTGTTCACCAACCCGGAAGCTCTCGAAACCCTGTCTTTTTGGGTGTTTATGGAGGCTTCATTACACAGGCACGATTGATTAAATCATTGGCCATCAACGACTGATTCAACCTCCAGCCCCTCTTCCCTCCCAGGAGATCAGGGGGTGGGAATGAAAGTTCCAACCTGCTAATCACAGGGTTGGTTCCTCTGGTGACCGGCTCCCATCCTTAATGAGGTGTCCAAAAGTCATCTCATTAACATAACAAAAGACACCTTTTATCACTCTCAGCGCTTAAGAAATTCCAAGGGTTTTAGGAGCTCTGTGCCAGAAGGGGACCAGACCAAATCTGTGTCTCTTATTATAAATCACGAGATCACAGTGAATCTCTCTTGGACTCTACCAGCGCAGAATGAGCCATCAGAGGCTAAACGACAATCCCAAGCTACACGATGGGGAACATCTCCCATTGCTCTAGGACCTGGGTGCTCACCAAACCCTTGTCCCTCATGAAAAAGGCCTTTCGTTTTAGCTCGTGTGCTCTCAGGCACCCCCATCATTCTCTCCACTTCTCTTTACTGCTAGTTTATGGCATTGAAAAAACAACCATCACGACAAATTGCCTTTTCTTCTTGCCTTTCGAGAAAGAAACCTAAGTGCTAGTATTATCTTCCACTTTTAATCACAGCTTGACAGAGATGGAAAGTTAAGTCGTGTAATTGCTTTTGTGTTTTGTACTTCTTTTCACTATTTTGGAAAAAAGAAATAGTTCAATGGATAAAATGTGGGTTTACACCAGACCCCAAACATCACGAGCATTAATGGCAACCATGTGTTATTCCAGAGAATATGCACCTACTTTGTGGGAGGAAGAAAAAATACGGCGCTGCTCAGCTAGTACACAGAGGAAACCAAAGAGTTCCAAAGGCACGTTTGGGGACAGAGAGCTGTTTCAGGTATCTCAAAGTAAAAAAGATGTATTTTGTAAAACCTTAAGATGTAGATATTACCATGGGCGTACTTGCAGCAAGATTGCCTTCCCCAAACTATTAATTCATAAAACGTCTGTCTCCTAATTGGAAGGCGGGGGATGCCTGGAGGCACAACTGGCCCATCCCACCGCCTTCTGCCTGGATTGTCCACAAAGCCACTGGGCCAGCATGTGGCCCTCTGTGCAGAGGCCAAGAAGAGAGGCTGCAGACAGGTGGGGCCGCAGCTTGGCCACAAAGTGCTCCCTACCGCCACCAAGAATGGAGCTGGGATGGGGCTCTCCACCCAGCACAGATCTTTCCCCATCTCTCCCGTTGCCAGAAGCCTCAGGTGGGCTGGGCTGGTAGAGGAATGAACTTAGCAGAGACCCACTTGGTTCCAGGAACCATGACTTGATACCGCTGAATCACGATTGCCTGCTGGAAGGGACAGTGCAGCCTTAGTCTTTGTATGTGTGAATTTAGTGTCTGCTCGGCGGCTAGAATCAGAGCTGTGGTTGGAAGCATCCAGCCCCAGATTGTAAAGTGGGTAGGAATTTTTGCTTGGTCACAAAGTCTGGTGTGCAGACACTAATGCTCTTTATTTTCCTTTTTCGTTCTTTTTTTTTTTTTTTTGCAGCCTCTAAATTTTTATTAACATGCGTTTTTAAAAGCGAGCATCCATACTAGTGTGTGTGTGGGGTAAGGGTGGGAGAGGAGGGCAGGGCAGGGCGAAGGAATTCTGCTTTATTGGTAATAAAATGCCAGAATTTTTTATTTATGTATTTTTAAAAAATTATTTATTTTTGGCTGCGTTGGGTCTTTGTTGCTGCGTGAGGGCTTTCTCTAGTTGTGGCGAGCAGGGGCTACTCTTCGTTGTGGTGCGCGGGCTTCTCATGGCGGTGGTTTTTCTTGTTGCGGAGCACGGGCTGTAGGTGCGCAGGCTCAGTAGTTGTGGCTCACGGGCTCTAGAGGGCAGGCTCAGTAGTTGTGGCGCACGGGCTTCGTTGCTCCACGGCATGTGGGATCTTTCCGGACCAGGGATCGAACCCGTTTCCCCTGCCAGTGCAGGTGGATTCTTAACCATTGCGCCACCAGGGAAGCTCAAGCGCCAGCATGAACTAGAATTACCTTTGCTCTTGAGCTCTCGTTTCCACTGATGGTGAATACTGTCAGCGTGCCAATTCAACCCAGCTCAGCACTTCCTGTTTAAAGGTGGTCCCTCTCAGGGTAAATGCGGCACTCCCCCATCCTCACATCCTCCTTCCCTTCTCCCAGGGGTAATCAAGGGCTGACCCCTGGTCCCGGCCTGAGGAAGGGGCCCACAGGCCACCATTGGTACTCGCTGACTTCTGCCCAATTGTGTTATTCGTCTCCAGCTGCATACGAAACCACTCCAAAACTTACAACAAACACAATATTTATTTTTCCTGTAAAATCTGCAATTTGAGCAGGGCTTCGCAGACATTTGGTGTCAGCTGGGGTAGCTTGAAGGCTGGGGGTTGGAATCTCTCCGAGGCCCCCTCAGACAGTGGCTGCTGGGTGTCATCTGGGACCTCATCTGGGGCTGTCAGATGGAACGCCTACACGTGGCCTCTGCCTGTGGTCTGGGTTTCCTCACAACATGGCAGCTGGGTTCTAAGGGTAAATGAAGAGAGAGGGGAGGGGTGTGCCAATTTGCCTTTCATGACCTAGTCCTTAAAAATCGTGTGGTATCACTTCGTCACATTCCGTTTGTCAAGGTGGTCACAAAAGCCCGCTGAACTTCAAGAGGTGGAGAGGAAGACTCCACCTCTTGAGGGGGGAAATGGCACGTACTAGAAGAGCATGTGAATTCATAAATGTTGTAGAGGCCACTCTCAAACTACGGTCTGCTACACCCTCTCTTCTCCATGCATTGGCTGTTGATCTTTTTAGAGCTGCCACCATCTCTGGTTCATTAAGTCCACTCTAGTTCCCTCACCGCCACCCAGAGGCCTCTTGGTGTTCCAGCCTCACAACCATGTCTGTGCCCATCTTGGGGATGGAAACATTTATACAGCTCTATTTCCTCATGCTTGAGAACGCTGTTGGCCTCCAGGCCTCCTGGGCTGTAGCTGCCCTGCGGCTCCGGCACCACGTTGGATGTGAGGCTTCTCCGTGTAGCTTCCAACCATCCCTGGTCTCCTCTGCTTGAGCCCCAGCCTTCTGGTGCCCATTCCAGCCGGCAGGGGAGAGGCAGCTACTCTTCTGGGGGCAGACTCCACATTAAGGGCATTTATTGTAAATTGTATCCACCGTTTCACTTTACCCCTTATAGGCCAGAACTTTGTCACATGGCCACATCTAACTGGGAAATGTAGACCTTATTCTGTCAAACCGTGGGTTCAGTGAAAAACTGGAAGTTTTTTTCTCAAGGGAGAAAAGAATGGGTTTTTCAGGAGAACTCCTATCTTGACAACAGAGGCAGCATTTAACCTGAGAGCTTCAGGGTGAGTCAGAGTCAGCAATGATAGAACCAGGGGAAGAGTATTTTAGGCAGAGGGAACAGCAAAAACAGAGGCTCAGAGGCAGGAAAGAGCATGGCCTATTCAAGGTACAGGAGTGTAATTAGTGAAGGGTGTGACCTGTGGAAGTGAGGGCAGGTAGACAGGAGGAGAGAGATGAGATGAAAGGAAAGGCGGGTAACTACCAGACCATGCGGGGCCATGTTGGCTAGGATTAGTAGTTTGGATTTTATTCTAGAACACGTTTCCGAACAGACTCTTTGATGTCTACAGTTCCCACAATTAGCAATTTTTTTTTTGGTGCAAAAGTCCATTCAACACAAATATTTCTTGAGCGCCTACTCATGACAGGAAAACAGAAGGCATTGTGGCAAGGTAGGAATAGCTTGATATTTGGAGTGTTAGCATTTAGAAGGTACCCAGTTTGGTCAGTGTATTAGCTGAGTATCCCTGGGCAAATTGCTTAACTTCTCTGAGTCTCAGATTCCTTGCTAGGCAACGTTGTGAGTTTTTAACAATATAATGCGTGTAAAGGTTCACGGTGAACTCTAAGGAGCCTTGCATACACTATGGTTATTGAGATACCGTTACAATATTGGTGTAAGTTCATCACACTCTTTCTGGAGTACCAAAGGGCCAATCTGAGGGTAGGTGGTGGAGGGGAGAGGATGGATATAGAGAAGGACCCAGCAGGGAGAGGGGCTGAAGGGAGGGCCCCTGGCATGGTCACCAAGCACTGGGCCCTGAGGTGTGCAGTTAAGGAGGGACAGCAGGGGATACCAATGAGTCAGTCTGGCAAAACTGATGCCCATCTCCGCATCCCCTCAGCCCATCACTATTGATGCCTATCTCCGCATCCCCTCAGCCCGCCTCTGAGTTCACCCGCAGCTACGCTGAGCTCTTTCTAGAAAGCCTGCAGGGCTCGTCTCTCTTTTCTTCTCAGCCTATGGACTTTCTTTGGCATCAGGGATCTTGCTGGAAGCATGCAACCTGGAAATGCCATGGAGTTAGCATCCTGGGGAAATTCTCAACCCTGCTACCCCAAGTTGGGTGTTTGGAACGGGGGATGTGTTCTGATGTGTGCCCCACATGGCCTCTCAGGGGCTCCCAGGTGGGGTGGAGCAGCTGCCCTCAGTGGTAACTTGCTCATCAACACCCCCTGAATGCACTCTCCTCTTTATCTCACCTCCCCACTCCCTCACCGTGCTTCCCGGGGTCACCTTCCCAATAAGCGACCTGCACCCAAATTCTCATCTCAGGCTCTGCTTTGGGGGGAACCTCGGCCAGCTCTCCGTTCCCGACCCCCTTCCCCGATACGTAAGGCGAAAGGGCACAATTATAGGTGGCCACGTGACCCACTGCCAGGTATTGGCTCATAAGCCAAAGTCTTTTGGAAACTTTCTTGGAAAGCTTTCACTTCTTTATAAAAGGAACAGATATTTTTGGTGCTGGAACACCTCCCCCACCTTCCTGCCTTGACCATGAACACGCTTTTAGAGCTGCCGCAGCTGTCTTGAGGCCAGAAGGGAAGGCCAAGAGGATAACAGAAACGCTGGTGTCCCTTATGTATTAAGACACCGAGCTCACATCTATAGACAGCTAATTCTAGGCTTCTTCTTTTGTAAGGAATATAACCCCCGGGTTTGTTGAGGACGCCGTTCACGGAGTGCTTGGTTACTTGCACCCTAATGCAGACCTAACTGATAACGGTTGCTCAGGGTGCCAAGGTCAGTGGTGGCTGCAACCTAGATTTTCAAGTCGTGGAGCCAGTGAGTCAAGCTGCTCTGCAGCAGGCTGGCAAATGTTGGAGCAGCACAGCCGCCCCTGCCCTGCCAACTCCCACTCCTGTTCTTGCCTCTCTCCAAATCCCACGGCTTCTCCCAAGCGGGATGGACAAGGCTCCTCTTGGGAATTCTCAGGCTTAAAGGTTGAGGAATGCAGGTGGCCTCGGAGACCACAGGCAAGTCTCTGACCTGCGTCACTCACCTTCCAGCCTCTGTTTCCTTCTTTCTTACTTCAGATTTACAGAGAGAGCAAGGTCTGAAGCGAAAGGATAAGAATCTATCCAATTAGGGGGACAATTCCCTGATTCCCTTGTAATTTACATTTCTTCTTTACTTTCTGTCTCGTTTTGCCTTAGAAAGCAAGCCCGTGAAAACTAGGCTTGTGATTTCTTTGGACTGAATCGCGTACAGTTGCTCACTGGTACTAACTGAGAGCCTGGATTGCTCCGGGCTAGGGGAAAATACCCAGGAGATGGAAGGCCTGTCCTGTCCTAAAACGGGGCACAGTCTGGTTGGAGGCATATGGAGCCTCCCAAGAGGGCCTATAGTTCAGGAGGCATGATAGCATAGGGGTCCACGAACATATGTTCTGGAATGGATGACCTGCATCGAGCAAGGTACTTAACGTGTGTGTGCCTCAGTTTCTTCCTCCGTAAAATGGAGAGAATCATTGTACCTAATCCTTGGTGTCATTGGTGCAAATTAAGTGAATTAGCCGTGGTGATGATGACGAAAGTTACGTGTTCATTCACAGTGCCCAAGGCAGTGCTTTGCACATGCGAAGCTCCAGGAACAGTTTCCTTTACCCAGCACCTATTTATGAGTATTCAGTACATACCAGGCGCCGTGTTAGGTGCTGGAGGTACAGCGGCAAATGAGACAGATAAGGCACCTGTCCTCATGGTCTGCCAGGGACAAGGACATGAAAGTCATTACACCTGTGACAAATAAGGACTCCAGTCAGAGGGCCTGGCCCAGGTCCAGACCTTGGGGTGTGAAGGGGGTGGGCTGCTGAAGCCCAGACGGAGCGCACCTAAGTGGAGGCTGGAACGGGGTCCAGATCCTGTGCACCTGGAGGGTTAAGTGTAGGCAGACAATCAAGGTCACATATCAGTGATTGGGTTCAAACTGGTGGAGAATTCTGGCACGGGACACAGGGCAAGGTGTGTGAGAACCACACCCCGGGCCTCCTTCTGACCTCCTCTGCCTTGCCCCCTGCCCATCGGCAGTGTGGACGGATCCGGGGCCCCCGCAGGAGCCAGGCGACGATCTCCTGCAGGCAACAGTTCTGATCCAGCCGTGTAGGAAGATTAGCAATGGAAGATTGATTTCTCCTTGTCATTTCCCCAGGGGCCTTAAGCAATCTCG